ATACATTTAATTAGAATAAATTAGGATTTCAAAGAAATCGGTGAACTAGATTATAGAACCTTTAATATGTATAAATAACGTTGTAATTTTCTCAATTTCATGTATCATTATCTTCTTCATAATAATAATCGTTTAATAAATAACGCGGTCCTTAACCTTGTTGTCTTCGGATATTATATTTTGATTAATGATAATAAATCTATCTCTAACAATGAATTCATACTAATTCAGTGTATAACCATTTTCTCTCATTTTTATATTATTGTTATTTTTTTACTATCTTGCCAGGGGGAGGGGGCTTTGATAAATATAGTTGTATAAATTTATTTCCTGTAATTTTATTTTCTTTTATTTTTATTTTAGAGTAAGCTTAGGCCAAAGTCTAAGAATAGTGAAATCCTAGCTAGGTGTGGCCAGTCAAAACTTAACCAAATATACAAAGGAGTAAAGCCCGACGAACCGAGGCTAAATAATCAAAGAATAAAGCCTAACGTACCGAGGCGCATATTTCAAATATATTGGAGACGTGCCAGCTCAGGCAAATAACAAAGAACTGCCGAGAAAACGTTACTGGAAGGGGGAATAAAATTCCTCCCTCAGGATTAATAGACAAAAAGCTATCAATAACACAAACAAGAAAGCAATTGCAATTGAGATTAAAAATATCAAGGAGCATTCAATCGTAACTGTATAAATTTAAGAAAAATATTATTATAAATAAAATATTGAGATTCACTGTGAGACGAGGAATTCGACATCACAATATATTCTTTTTTTTTTTGAATATATTAGTAATTTGGAAATTGAGGTATGATGATAAAATAATGGTTTTAACAAATAAAATTGAAATAAATGCTTTTATGATAAAAAAATTTAACGGTCCAAACGGTAAGACCGGACCGTTAACATCCCTATTTGTTTATTATGAATTTTTTTTTAAATATGTATCTAGAATTTATGACAAAATTACATTTACAATGTAAAACTACATCAATATTTTTAGATTACGGCTCTTTTATGTTGTAGAGGCATGTTTTGCGAACTCAAAATATTTTTCGGAATTATGCTTTTTTTATGATAATGATCGACGAAAATCTTTACTGATTGATTTATTATTATTTATATTATTTATAATTAAATATGCGTGATCCAAAAACTCGCATCAATTTGTATTTATTTTACCTATTCTATATAAATGAAATCTATCTTACTATTTACTAACTTTAAAAAAAAAGATTTTTTGATTTAAAAATAAATAAGATGAATTATTTAATTCAAACAAATAAAAATTTTTTTAAAATAAATTTAATTTTTTTTCAAAAAGGAAAAAATTAAATAATCAAGGAAAATAATATATAATAAAATAAAAAAAAGATGTCAAAATCTAAAGAAAAAAATCTTGCAACCCATTTTCTTGCAGGTGGTGGAGCTGGCTTAACGGAGGCGTTATGTTGTCATCCATTGGATACAATTAAAGTGAGAATGCAGTTAAGTAAAAAGGTAAATAAAGATATTATAATTATTAATATATATATTATTATGATTAAATTTATTATATATTTCATCATCTAATACACATATGAATAAAGGCACAAAGGCCAAATTTCATTACAGTAGCAATTAATATCATACAAAAGGAAACACCTTTAGGTTTATATAAAGGTTTAGGTGCAGTGGTTACTGGGATTGTACCAAAGATGGCTATTCGTTTCTCAAGTTTTGAAATGTATAAAGGATGGTTTGCTAATAAATCAACAGGAAATGTTTCAACAGTTGCTACATTCTTTTGTAGGATTTCTTTAAAAATTTATTTATTTATTTATTCATTAATTTGATTTCTTGATTTCTCTTGATTATTAATTACTTTCTCTCTCCTCACTCTTGCTATATATAGCCGGGCTTTTAGCTGGTACCACAGAAGCAGTATTTGTTGTTACTCCAATGGATGTGATTAAGATTCGGTTACAAGCTCAACATCATTCTATGACTGATCCGTTGGACATTCCAAAATATCGTAATGCAGCACATGCAGCATTCACAATTGTTAAGGAGGAAGGTATTTCAACTTTATACCGTGGAGTTGCATTGACAGCTCTTAGACAAGCAACAAATCAAGCTGTCAATTTTACAGTGTATCAAGAAATGAAAAAATTAATGAAAAAATTACAAGAAACAAGAGAAGGACAAGAATTACCAACCTACCAACATTTATTAATGGGTGGATTTAGTGGTGCAATGGGTAAATTAATTTTTGCTTCGATAATAATATCATTACTATTATCCTTAATATTAATGTTTTTATTATTTCTAGGTCCAATTGCGAATGCACCAATTGATACAATAAAAACTCGTATTCAACGTGCACAAAGTACAGAAACAGGATGGAAAAGATTTAAAACAGTTACTAGCTCGCTAATCAAGAATGAAGGTTATTTAGCTTTTTATAAAGGACTGTTTCCTCGTTTAATGCGTGTAGGAGTGGGACAAGCTGTTACTTTTGCTGCTTATGAAAGAATTAAAATTTATATAGATATATTTTCTAAAAAAGGATTTCTTACTACAATTACAGATGATTCAGTGTGAAAACTAAAATTATATATAATGTAATAATTATTATAATAACTATTTATTATTAAATTAATTAATTAATAAAATTGAAATAGAGGGAAATTTAATATAAAATTTAAAAAAAAAAATTCCCACTTTTTATTTTTTTTTGTGAATGAAATTGCAAATCTTATATTTATCTGTAACAACACCAGATTGGCATCAATGTATTGCTTGTGTAATGTGTCATGATTTTGTCTAGACAAAAATAGCTAATATGAAACTCATATTAGGCCTAGGGTTGATTTAGAAAACCAACTCAATAAACTTAATAAAAGAAAGTTTACTGAACAGGTGGGAATATTACTAGTCCTTTTGGCTATTTTAATTATTAAGATAGTGAAGATTAAGAAACATAAGTGAAAAGATTGATTGCTACAAGAAATAGAACCAAGCTTGAAGGGGTTTTTTGACCAACTCTATTTAGCAGCTTAGCCATTTTAGTGTTCAATATGTTATCTTCTTGTTTTAAATAATACAAAAATTAACTCTTTTAAGTTCGACCTTGCATTCTATTTAGACTCGGTAGATACAAGTCTTGGAGTAACTACAACATCATATGTCATCTAACGTTTTTTTATTTAGTATAAAAATTATTCAATTACATTTTATGCTGGCTTAGGGCAAGTAATATCTTTGTATTCATCTTTCACAAATGGATAAAATATTCTGGTAAAGATATTCTTGCCTTTTGTAGTCTAAAGGAGGTGGTGTTAACACTAAAATAGATAAAGATTTAATCTCTTCAAAAATATCTGCTTTCTTAATTTTCAATAAATTGAATTCAGCCAAAGGTCCATTAACAACTTCTTGAACTTTTACTGTACCAAGATTAGATACTTCAAAAAGAAAATGTTAATATTTCTGGATGCTTGGTAATTTCTTAAAATAAATTCCCAAAATTGCTTTAATATCTAAGTATTGAAAACCCTTTCCACCTTCATAACATTGTGCTTTATTTAATCCTGCTGGACTGGACTTTTTTACCACCTCAACCACAGGACCCACACAATCTACTCTTGTTCATCTGTAGAGTTTTTTAATCAGGCCAAAACTACCATCACATTTAAATTTAGTATGTCCAGGAATCATGAAGTTTAGTCCAACACTTTCATAATAACCACAGATTACTAAAAATAAATAAAATCAAATTGTTCCATTATTTTTATTTTGTCTCCCAGCATTATCACAAAGTAATCTTTAATTGAAAAATATATTAGTCGTGTGACATTGGGGCGTCCCACAGACATAGTAATAGTCGATCACATATATAAATTTTTATTAAGAAGGATTTTTCGTCGATCTTTTTTTTAATAGTAACCTTTGAACGAAAATAACTCTTTAAAGAGCAGAGATACAGATTCCAAATTAAGTTTAAAATATATTAGAAGGATAGGGCAATGTCCCTATAGAGAGGTTTTTTTAATTTTAATATAAATCATATCACTTATTCTAAGCTAAAAGAAAAAAAGGAAAGTTATGTATATATGATACAAAATTTTATGCAAATAAAATTGTAAAAAGCTCTCTATACGCCCAAAGAGCATCAAAATGCGAATCCAATCATGTCGTTTTATTTAGATACGTCATATAGTTTAAGAGTTATTTCGATTTTTGTAATCTTGCGAATATATTTGTCTAAATTTTAGTGTTACATCTAAATTTTATAATTTCTATATACAGTGCAGGACATCTATAATGGTCAATAGTCCGAAACTTAAAATTTTAGAAGATCTTTCTAATTTAAGTAATCATATTCCTTTTATTGGAAAGATTGTCTGTATCACGGAAAATTTTTAAGCCGATCATCAACCTTTTAGGAAACCACAAGGGAATATCATTCCGAAATTTTACAATTTACATATAGACATATATAAAATGTTCTAACTTTCAAGCCTTATAACTCAAAACTTTTCTAATAAAATGAAAAAGTAAACCGATGGAAATGAAGCTTAGGTCTTTAGCTTTAATTTTATCGGTTTATTTTTTTTTTTAATTTTTTTAATAAGGAGTTATAAGCTTTTAAAATCATGTGATAATCATTGACCGTTATAGATGTCCTGCACTATATTATTTGCGAATTAACATTTAATAGGCAAAATGACTGGTATTGAACAAGCAAATTTTTCAGAAATTAAAGAAACCTGCTAGGAAAATATAGAGAAAAAAAGGAACTCTGAAAACAACCCCAGCTTATCTAATATTAATTATGCCAATTATTCTATCTGGTAATTAAAAACTTATTATAGAACAAGAAACAAATAAATAAATGGAATTGCAAAATTTGCCAAATTTTGAACCCTGAAAATTCTTTGTGACATAATGTTCACCTTGTTGGGTTTTGTTCGTCCCATATTTGAAATTTCCTGATTTTTTTTACAAATCGTAATAATATGGCAGATTTAACCAACTGCGCATCTATTGTTGCTACTGTAGAATCTCTTACTAATAATGAAAAAGTTAAAACTTCACGTACTACTCCTCGTGACATTAGTGAAGTTGGTTGGATATTTGTTCAAGAATATTACACCTTTTTACATAAAGAACCCAATCGACTTCATTGTTTTTACGGTCAAGCTTCTCATTTTATTCATGGAAGTGAGGGTGAACAAGTAAGAACTCTGATTGGTGAAAAGGTTGGTGTTTAATTAATACTTAAATATACCATATATTTATTAAAATAAAACTTGTTACGATTTAGTTTATGTACATATTTATATATTTACATTTGAATTAAAAATTGAGATTCTTTAATAATATTTAATGTTATAATTCTAACATAAAGAAGATGAACATGTCGAATAATTTTTTAAGGAATACACAAATATTAATAAACATTTCTTTTCATAAATAACAGGAAATCAACGAGAAAATTAAATCATTAAATTTTAATAATTGTAAGGTTGCTGTGACAAATGTCGATTGTCAAGCTTCAAAAGATGATGGAATTCTTATTCAAGTCTTGGGATTGATGAGTAATCATGATGAGCCGCCTAGAAAATTTGCTCAGACATTTTTCCTTGCAACACAACCCAACGGATATTATGTTTTAAATGATATTATTAGATTCTTAAATGATGATGACGAAGAGGATGAGAACAGCGAATTTGATAAAGATGCAGTTGATGAAATTGTAAACAATGATAATGATAATATTTGTTTAGATGTTAAAACTTCTGCTTCACAAAAACTCGCCAAAGATGATGATTCTTATTCAGCATCTCCCACAGAAACTTTGGTCAACGAACATATCATCGCCAATATTAAAACTAACGGCTCAGAGCATATTAATAATAAACTCAATGTCTCTGAAGATTCTACCAGTATTAAATCTAATATCTCAAAAGAACTTGTTAATATTAAACCTAATGTCTTGGAAGAGCCTATCAATAAAACTAATGTCTCTGAAGAATCTATTGCCATCACTACTACTCATAAAGGTACTCTTGATTCTATCACTGAAGGATCTGCCATTGCCTCCATTTCTGTCACTAAAAAATCAGAAATTACTCATTCTAATACTAATTCTCCTGTTGGTACATCATCACCATCTGTTACTACAAATGTTACCAAATCAGTAGCAGGAACTTTAGCTGATCAAATTAATCATACTAATTTGCAAACTAATCTCAACAATCAAGATGTTAATTCTCTTGTTGCACATCCTTCAACAACACCTTCATCCGTTGTAATAAATGGTAATTCTACATCAGAAAAAAATCACATTGTTAATCAAGAAAATGTCGCCCAACCTAACAATAATAACAATCAATTATCAGTAGCAGAAACTCCAGTTGATCAAATTAATCTTATCGGCACCACTAATAATCAAGTTTCTAAATCACCTGTCGTAAAACCTTCAACATCGCCGCCTGTTGTCACAAATGGTCATTTAGCAACAGTAGAACAACATGCTAATCATCCATTTACTATCACCAAATCAATTACTAAACCTCAAACTTCTCCTACACTCGATATTGCTCAAAGAGATAATAAATTGTTATCACAACAAAAATCTCAAAAACTACAACAACCGTTCATCAAAAAACAACCCTCGCCTGTTATAAATGATCATCAAGCTGTCTCTCCCAATCAGAAATCTGCTCAAACTCAAGATTATTCATTAATAAATGCTAAAACAACTTCTTCTATTCAACAAAAGCCTAATAAGGGTCAAACCATCACTCAAATTACAGCTGAAATTCCTGCTCAATTTAATAATGACGAACAAACAACTGCTTCTAATGCCAACGATAATAATGTTCAAAATGAACCTGTTACATTAGAAAAAAAAATCAGTACAGAAACTGCTGCTTCTGCTAGTAGTAAAAAAAATAACGACATACAGATTGAACAACCTGTCCAAGCTGCTACTGACAAAACTGATAATCATAATCACAACAATAATGACAATAATATCAAATCATTAAATTCAACAGAAACCATAAAAAATAACATACAACAACAACAATCAACCTCCCCCCCAGTCAAAAAAACGTGGGCACGTTTAGCCGCCAACGATCTCGATAAATGGAAAAATGATGCTTTAGCTGACACTAAGGGACACGTGACAATTATTTCTGTACCCACCTCTAAACCTCAAAGAAAATCAGTGCCACATCAACATCAAAAATATGATAATCATGATAATAATAGAGAAAGCAGAGATAATGGTAATGATAATGACAATAATCATGAACATCGTCACCAAGATGGAAAAAGAAATGGTTTCCGTCGTGTTAGCGGTTAGCAAAATATAATAATAATAATAATAATAATAATAGTTTTTATTTTTGGTTTTTTTATTTCATATAAACATCTAACCAATATGTTATGTGATCATTTAATGAATAAAAATATTAGATACAGCACTTTCAATTTATGTTAGAGGTGTTAAAACTGGAATGAATTATGATTTATTGAAGGGTAAATTTTCAAGTTTTGGTGGTGTCAAACATCTTGATGTTGTTCCTACAAGAGTAAGTAATATATTTGGTTTTTTTTTATAATAATTATTATATTATTATATTATTATCATTGATCAATCAACCCAGTTACTAACTAAACTTTATAAAAAAATTAAATAGAATTGTGCATTCGTAGAATTTTTTTCAACGGAAGCGTACCGGCTTGCTCTCAATGCTAAATCAATTGAAGTGAATAAAACCACTCTTTACATTGAGGAACGGCGACCATCTCGACGTAATAATTACAATAACAACAACAACAGCAACAATGAAAACAGCAACAACAATAGCAGCAACAACAATAACAATAACAATAACAATAACAATAACAATAACAATAACAATAACAATAGCAACAACAGCATCAACAATAATAAAAGTGGTCAATATAATAGAAATTATTAATTATGTTGTTTATATATAGATTGCATATTGAAAAATTAAAGATTTTTTTTTAATTTTGTATATATTCAAAAAAAAATTTTTTAATAATAATAGTTAATAATATATAGAAAATAAAAAAAATTTATTTTAAAACTAAATTAAGAGAATCATCATATTTATTATCATTTTGATACTGTTCACTAGCAATAAAATGGTCGGGGAAAATAAACAATTTTAAATTAGTCGTGTTGGCATATTGATTGGAAATATAAAAAAGTGCAAAGCCCTAAAAATAATGTCATAAGAAGATTTATTATATAATCTATATAATTAAATATTTGCTTCATTTAACTTACAGGCATATAAATAAACAAACAGGTTGAATTAAGTGTTTCAAACTATGATAAATGGAACAATAACGTTGAAATTTTATTTCCTCAAATATGTTTTTTTACATTTGACAGTCTTCTTATAGTAAATAATTCATCCATATATTGGATTGAATATTTTTATTATTTTGAGAAAAAACGTTAATTAAACTTAAGATTTATTCATATTATTTATCATCAGGTTAATTTTTGATCTAACGATTAGTTCAAGAATCAACTCGTATACAAAATCTGAAGCTAAAGCATGATATCATGATATATAAAAGATAAATTTAAAGGCAATCGTCACATATTTGTCTTTGCCCGCAAAACATTGTAGAGCAAAAAATAATAATAATAGATAGTATTTATTTGCATTTTCGCATATATCAACTGTTATAGTCTTTTCCGGTGTACTCTACCATTTTCCATTTTGTTTTTTGAAACGTCGTATATATAATGTTTTCTTCTTTCACCTCCTTTTTTGGTCCACTACTGCCGAGAGATAAATAATACAATTACAAAATCGTCATTATTCTTACAATTTCCTTGGTGTAGTATTACCCAGCTGTTAAATTACATTCACTAGACATCTTTGCTATTAATAATAATCCTCTGCTTAATGGTAATCCCGCCTCCTTTAATCCTAATACCTAATAATTTGTAATATTTGCTCGTTCTACTATTTTACAAATTCCTTAGAATATTGTTATTTCCTATACATTTGCTATAATATATCATTTAATTCTAATTCTCAAAAGATTAAATTCATAAAACTATCACCAACTCATTCATTTATTAACTCATTACTTTTATTCGCTCACTTTCAAACAACAAATATATGGCCCAACTTTATCAACCATCTCAAGAAACTGTTTTCTTACCCTCTATTTGTTCTATTTATGCTTCAATAATTTTCATACGAAATTTTAAAGCTCGTTCACTACAACTATGCTGTTTTATTTACTATGACTAATACACTACATGGCCAAAAGCATAGCCATAAATTGCACAAAACCCTGCAAACAGTGTTGGCAATTGGACTGGAACAACATTGGACAATTCAAACCTCAATTAACTTTTACTATTGTTAAATTTTTTAAAAAAAGTTATAATACACTATTTCCATTCATTGTTTTATTAAAAATGGGAAAGCATTGTTTAACAGAATACACAATTGGTTTTAAATGAAATGGCCAACTCTTGTAATAAGTTTTCTATCTGTAAAGCTTGTAAAGCCTAGGTCTCTTATGATTTTGCTTACTCTAACAAAATAGTAAATCCTATTTTTTTTGGAAAATATGGAAAAGAAACTGGGCAAGAAATCTTGGATAATACAGGTAGTGAAATCACAAAGTCTGTCAAACAAATAATGTAAAATTACAAAAGATGTCCTAATAAGTGTGCCAAGAAGAATAGAAGCTGTTATTGAATGTGTGGACCAATAAAATATTCTTTGGAAAAGTTTTTGGACGAAATTTTCATTATTTTTCTAAGAGTAGGATTTTATTATTATTATCTGTATTTTTTTTTTTGCACTCGGATTTCAGATAAGCCGTAGCCTATGGTTTTGTATTAATAGTAGCAATAGTAGTAATAGTGATATAATTGCCATTAGAGTTTACCGGTCGATTCTAGTATTCAGATTCGAATCAGGTTCGAACCAGGCTCGAATCAGTGATAGAATAATTCAAATCGTTCAAAAAATTTCTCCATGGATGATTTAAACAATGATGATTTTTACAATGACGATTATTATTCTGCCCTTTCACTTCTCAGACCTTCTATACAATTGGATTCAGATTCAACCACCACATCTGAAACTATAATGGCAGTACCAAAATCTTCGCCTGTTTTAACTAGTTCTAGCCAGTAACAAAAAAAAATGTGAAGAAAACTCACAATCAACTAAAATGTGGAGAGCTAAAGATCGTTATAATTTAGTAGGTGAACATAATGAGTTTGCCAAGTGTAAATTTGTTCCAATAATCGAAAAAAAAAATGTTTAAACATGATAATTCTACATGTAACCTTTCGCATAATAATTTTCAAAGTTAAATTTTATTATGAATTTAAATAAAAGAATGCATTGAAATTTTAAATTTAAATTTATAGAATCAAATTATTGGTTAAAATCGTTCGAATCGCTGATGGTTAAAATCGTTCGAATCGCTGATGGTTCGAATATTCGAATCGATTCGAACCGGTTCGTACGTAAGCTCTAATTGCCATGCATAAATAACACAAAATTTATTGTTATTATTATTATTATATTCATTCTAAAGTGATGGCAGTAATCTTTACCCATCCATAAATTATAGCATTTTTCATTTTTGTATCGCCATTAATTTGGACTTTTGTTCCAAATGAACAAAAAAAAGTTAGTACCAGGTTTCCAGGTTTTGAAGGTAAATGTAAAATATAAAATATAAAATGATAAACTAACTAGTTTATAAATCTGAAATAATTAAAATGTAACTCCCAATTGGTGATATAAGAAGCTAATGAGTAATCTGGGTGGTAATCTGAAAATATTCCTAAACTAAAACCCTCTGGGAAATTATCATAAAAGCACAATTAAACATTGTACAGATTACTAATTATGAAATTTAAACTAGTCTAAAAGGAAATTTTTTTATTGAGGATAAAAATTCATGACACAGGAATCAAGAAGGGTATTTTTTTCTTGTGAAACTAGATCTTTCACCACGCATTATTAAGTCTCTCTGTAATAGTTGTTGCATCTTGAACATCTTTTTGGGCTTTTTTTCTCATATACCTAATCAATTCAATGAATGTTTATTTTAACGTTTATAATCAAAGAAAGACATATAGATATATAAATATAATTAATGTACCATATAGGACAATCTTTGGAACTACATAATATATCTTGATGTAAACTTCCTTGACATCTTTGGCATTGAGTCCATAAACGTGCAAAATGTACTTCTAATTTGGTGACGGTATCCAACTAAATAATAATATAATTCTTGTAAATCGATCAATTTCAATCAAGAATTATAAATGAACTTCCACTTGCCTGTTTTTGGTATAGTTCCCCCAACTTTGGTCTACAATGATGACATACTGCAGCATCTTATTTTAAGGGTAGAAATAATGTTAAAGGAAAGCAAGATTGTAATATGGAGTACAATAGACAGAGGTTCTTTGGCATTTTTGTCAATTTTGAGTAAAAGGAAGCTTAATAATTTTTTCCTTAAGTTTTAAAATGCATTAACAACTGTTGTTCTTTTTGTTAATTTTCTCAAAATCAGATTTTTGCAAACAACCAACTAGCTGTTTATTGCACTCCATATGTGAAAAAATCTTAATATTAATCATTTACCAGTCTTGCTCAAAGGGGTTTTACAACCTAGGCATGTAGCTGTCTTAACTGTAAATTTCATCAAACCACCAACAGATGGTGTTGCTACTTGTATGACACGTGTATGATTACCTGCCACTATAAATTTATCTTTATAAATAATTTGTTCAAATGAGTTTGTTTTTTTCAATAATTTTTTACATACATAAAGAATGCACCCTTTCACCAAGAATTGGTTCAAATATTCGTGATAATGGATTTGATAATTGGTTGTCTAAATAATATTTAGTATCTATCGGAATATTATTTTCTAGAACATATATAGGATCTTCTGATTTTTCATATGCTGCAGCACCTATAAAATAATAACAATTAAGTCATTAAAAAGAAAAATTATATAATTATATTCATATATACATACCTTTAGTTCCTTTTACAATGACATATGCAACACGATCACCAATTGTTGGAGCTGAACCTAATTATCAATCGTTTATTAAATAAAATATTGATACTTATAAATTCAATAATCATAAATTTCAATAACCTGCATCTCGTTTGTGCATCCTCTCCGCAAGTTCAGAATGTGGTTGTTTAGAATTATACTCTAAATATAAGTTTAAAAAAATTTAAAGATCGTTACATGTTAAATGGATAATTATTTTACAATACCTGATTTACTTAAAGCTTTTGTAATTACTAGTTGTGACATATCAATTTTATTTTGTAATAAATCAGATATAACATTCTTAACATATCTGTTTAAAAAGAAGTATCATTAATGTAAGTATTTCTAATTTATCAGAAATAATTAATCGAATGCACTACAAACGTTTCAGCTCCTTCAATATCTCGGTCAATCAATATCTTTTTCAAGGATGTCTCTATGACATTTTGAACAAGAAGACAATTGTCACGTCTTACAGTCTATCAAAAACTTAAAGGTTAATTATGAAATATATATTTGGATATATATGTGTGTGTATGTGATCTTTACTTCAATGCCTTTAGAATCCAACTTGTCCCATTTTTCTGTGTTAGTCCAATACAGCCCAGCATATCTTTTTTTATTAACCAATAGGTAAGGAAAGTAAATCTTTTCAAACTCCAAATTAATTGGTTTAATAAAATTTTCTGTCACATGTTTAGCTGCTTTTTTGCCTGTCAATAGTATTATAATCACTAAGTATACACACTCCAACATCAACAATAAATTGTCTCTACTAATACACTACTAACCCAATTCCATTGCTTCAGCCAAATTATCTACACCAAATTTAACCATAATAGAGTCAGTATCACCATATATCACAACAGCATCATGCTTGTAATTATTTTCAATTGTAAAATGACTTTCTACTACCTATAATAGAAGATTATTTATTAACTATAATTATATACATACATACATATTTAAAATATATAATACTACTCACCGCCTTTGATTTTTCTATCATTTCTCTACCATATGCAGTAACACTAGAAGAAATTTCTAGGCATGGCAATTTACCTATTGTTGCACCAGTAAATCCATACACAGAATTTGCACTTATCTGTATATAACATCAATTTATTTATTGATTGATTTTTCCTAGTGACAAAAATTTAAAATTAACATATATAAACCTTCAATGCTAATTGACGTCCATCAAACACAGCTCTTTTGAAAGGATCTGTTTCTTTTTTGAGATCTGCTTTAGCCCTTTTACGTGCAGAAAGTAAATCTTCAAGAATTGTTGGCAAAAGTCCTTTGCGATGATGTGCTTTTACAAACCGAGCTAAATGTTTTTAATTGAATTTTAATTAATGATGCATAAAAAAAAATAAAACTTTTTTTTATAATAATGTACCATTGATCTGTGGAGTTGTTATATAATCAATATCACCCTTTAATTTTAGATTTTCAATCTCATTGTTATCCAACAATGTGGTATAACATAAATTATGTGCAATCATAATGGATGGATATAAAGAAGTAAAATCAAGAGTAGTAATTGGAACATTATAAAATCCTTTCAAAGGTTCAATCACAGTTGCACCTTCAAATTGCTCATCGGAAGCTATGCGTAAAAATTTTAAAATTTAAATATTATTGTTTTAATAAAAAATCAAAAATGTATAATTTGATACCTTCTGTTTTTAAAGCTGGTATGACTAAATCTTCTTCATGTGCTTTTCTAAAAAGCTGTGATATAACTTTAATTTGTTGACCACGAGATAATAAATAATTAAAAGGAACCCCAGTCACACGAGCCATTTCCATGTAATTAATCAAACACATTAATTTATCCATAAGCCTTTGAGGTAAATAAGCATCCTAAAAGGGATTGATTATAATAAAAATTTTTAACATCAGAAAAAACATGCATGTATATGTAAGTATGTAAAATTATTTAAAATTGGTATCAATTAACTTTCAAGCAATATACAGCTAGCCGTCTCCGCGTCTCTTCATTTCCATTATGCAAATCTGTAATTATTGAATGATGTACATCTTCCTTTTGTTCACCTAAATTAATTATAACTTAATTTGCATGATAAACCATCCAAACAAGTGAAATAGATTTATGTATCCCAAATACCTAAAAATTGTGCACAAACTGAATTCAATGTATAAGACCTTAACTTATGTTCACGTTGCATAACTTGCAACAAGTCTAATTGAATTCTTCCTTCAATATGTAAAATATTCATTAAGTGTTAATATATTAATAAATATAAATATCGCAGTTTTTTAATTAATTCAAGGATATTTGTTATTTTGTTTTCACGTGTTCCATATGCTTTTGATGAAAATCTTGAATCTTTTGCTTCAGATTTGACATCTAATTATGATAATAATAATGGACAAATATGTGTGTATTAATAGGTCTTTAAAAATAAAAAAAGTATTAAAAAACCTTCTAAATTCATTAAATACTTTTTATTCTTCCTAGATAAGAAAATTTTGTCACATTCAAATGATTAGCACGATCTAGTAGGTAAGGCAAATCAAAATTTGCTATATTATAACCAATAAGTAAATCTGGATCAACCTATTCAGTGTAAGTAGTTTAGCATTATTGTTATAGACAATTTTTATTGATAAAATTTATAGTATTAAATATACTTTAATGACAAAATCCCTCCAAGCTTGTAACATTTTTGCCTCTTCAGAAAATTCAATTACATCTGTTGCAACAATTGGGGCACAAGAATTCAATGTAAAAACATTTCTAATAAAAGGTGTTTTTTCACCTGTAAATTAAGCAAAATAACATGTAAAAATATGATTTTTTTATATATTGATATCAAATCAAAATTATGAATCAATCAAACCTTGAATTGTGACTATATTGGCTATTTGAATTACAGGATCTATTTGTGCTTCCGGGAATATACCTTTACGACCTGCACATTCAATATCAAAACTTAAAATACGTAATGGAGCAATTTTCAACCATTCATCTTCAGGTGGATGACTAATAAATTTATCATATCTATAATAAAATTAATATTAATGACAAAATCTTTAATGTATATTTAAAAGAAATCAAAAAAAAATTTTTTAATAAAATACTTTATATCCACTTCTAATTGACAAGTTGAAGATTTTTGTGAATCTTCTCGAATGGTGTAAGTATTTGGTGGTAATTCAATCCAATTTGCCCCAGTAACCTAAAAAAAAAATTTATTAAAACAACTATTGTTTTTTAAAAAAAAAAAATATAGTATATTTAACTTACTTTGCAATTGATCATAAACCTGAGAACATATGATATATTGCTTTCGAAAGTTGTGCTGATAATGCATCTTCCATTAAACATTATTTTTCCATCTTCTATAAGACGTACATTGTGGTCAAGAGTATATATACAAATCAAATGAGAATTTTCAAAAAAAAAAAACTATCACTACTTCGAAAGTGGAAAAAGGATATGTTTAGCTGACGATAATGATTTATAATCAAAGCATGTAATTTTAAGATAAGGGCTCCTTTTGTTTCCATGAAAGCCCCATAAGCTTTCTTTATTTTGTATTTCAATTTTAATAATTGATTTTCTTGACAAAAAACAATCATTTCTTACAGCTGCCTAAAAAAAAATTATTTAAACCTATTATTACTCTTGTTAAAAGAAAATTATTTAAATTATTTAAATTATTTTAAAAAAATAAGACCTCTAATGTATTTAAAAAATTATCAACTTCGTCGTTTTTGAATCCATTTGGTGCTGGCATATAAAAATAATGTTGAAATCCATTTACATTGCAGAGAATACTATTACCATTCTACATATCAAAAAAATTGTCAATTAAATTTTTATACTTTATCACAAAATGAAAAAAAAAATAAATTAGTCATTAGCTGTTTACCTCAGTAACCCCAAACATACGAATAAAAGGAGCTTTATTATATGAATTAACACTCTCACTTATTTCAAGTTGTTGGAAAACTACATTAATACATTATGATGATTATTTTTTTGTACACATATATATCTATTTTATGTTAAAAATTTTTTACTTACAGATCGATTGTGAATTAGAATTGGACTTTATCATCTTTTATTATAGAAAGTTTTTAAACATTCATGTGTAACCCAATGTCTTCTTTATTATTATATATCATGTTCGCGTTCGATCAACAGTATGCATACAGTACTGGGGCTGATCACAGATATATGTTCGGTCCTAAATTTGCAAATTTTCTAGAATATTCATAATCCAACTTGTTGTCTAATTGACTACTTTTGAAGATTCTGAATGAATTTCACTAATAAATGCCTAATACCAACTAAATCATCCCAATATTTCCATCTAATTCTCAATAATTCATTGCAAACATCAACCATTGTGTATGATACAATTCCACATCATTTTGATTGTTCAAATACTGATAATACCAAATAAGGATCATTAAACTTTAAAATTGCTTTTATCAATAAAGAATAATTACTTGGAAATTGTCATAACATTGACAAATTAAAAAGTTTAGTTCACAAGAATTTTATAAATTCCTAAACTGTATGACATCCATCCATTCCCTGTGAAATCAAATCTTCATTTTTTCAGATTTCTTATTATTTGGTGACTTATTAGAGGAAATGATGCATATGATGTATTCTAAAAGTTTTTTATCAAATTTTTTAATAATATAAATATCTTTTGCAATTTGTTTCATATGTAATAAGTTTTTTTCAAAGTTTCAATGGAATTAAACATTTATCATCTGCAGTGGAACCAAAAGAAATTTTATAAATATTATAAACATTGTTTGTCTTTCAATGTTCTGATTCTTTAATTGCCTTTTTTCTTTGTGTTGGTGTTCTTTTTATATTTTAAATCAATACCCATCAAACCATCAAATTGATTTTCTAAGAAACCACCATCACTATTCTTATTTCAATTTTGTTTATTTCATGCTCTTGGTTTCTATTGCCAAAAGAATTTAAGACATCTTGAAATAAATAATTCCATTCAGTAGTAAGATGTCTTTTAAAATTTAAAATTATTATTTATTATAATAAATTTGTCTATTTAATAAAGATTTTGTTAAATAAATATGTTTATATACATATATAGATATATTTTTCAAATATACACATCCAAATCATATGACTTGCAAAAAAGTTTTTTTTAAACCAAATTATATATAATTATGTATTTATCCAGTTCAATTTTAAGAAAAATATAGAGAAAAAATTGGATATGTATATTTATATCAACAACAAATAATGATTTTTGAAGAAATACTATTCTATAATCCACAAGGTATTATTTGATTGGATTCATTTAATTTTTCTCTAAATTTTTTTAAAAAAAAGGTAGAACAAAATAAAGAACTTGAATTGTATTTATGTTTAAGTTCAGACATTAAATCTGCTATGAAGAATAAAGATCAATTTGAAACTAAATGTTGTCAAGGTAAATGTGAAGTGGAATTAACAATCATTTCCATCTATCCATATTTCATAAATTGCATTATTTTTTTTCTGATTCATTTTTCACCTTCCAATCATTTAATAAAGTCAATTCTTTCAGATCTTACTTATATTTCAAAATAAACAAATCTATAAATTATAAATAAATCTGTTAAAACTCATAATGAATCTATAGAAAAATTTCCCAATCACAAAGATTAGATTTAGTCCACAAAGAACAAATCAAATTAGAAATTTTAAAATCTTATTTGCCAAAAAATAAATTTTTTCTCTCCGCAACCTCTTAATACTAATACTGTCTGTTTGAGGGATACGTAAAAATCACGTGAGGTTTTAATCAATAAGTAATGGTTGCACCATAATTTTGATAATCGTCGCACTTGAATTTTTTTTTCCAATAAAAAAAAAATGACTGGCTTAAAGATTTCAGATTTAGTGCATAGAACTTTGGTTATTAGTTTAGTTGGCATTGCAGGTAAATAATTAATTTAAATATTAGTATTAACTATTGTTGAAAAAAGAAGAGCAAGAATTTTAATCATTGTTATTACAAATATATATAGCATATAGTTTCATTGGATCAGGTATAGCATTTAGACAAAAAATTGCAAAAAGAAAAGAATCAACAAAACAAATGGAATTGGTTTGTTTATTTGTAATTTTTTAAAATTTTAAATAATTATAACAATCAATAAAAATAAATATGTTTATCTTGCCAATTAATCATATTAGAAACAATCATCTGAACAATTTAATCAAGATGCATTATTATCAGAAAACTCTTCAACTACATAACTTTTATATAAATCAATATATTAATTATACATAATATATAATCTTGCTAAAATTTTAATGTATGTATATAATATTTGTTAAAAGGGTTCTAATCAGATTAATATTAAATTATCAAAGATTTAGAGATTTGTATGATTTGTAATGAATTGAAGCTCTTTGTCAAAATTACCACTATTGGGTTTTCTTGGCTTAACCACCATTATTTTGGTTTGAATAATTGTGACTAAAAAATGAAATTGAATTATTTGTTAATCATTATAAATATACATTAAAGATATGATTTGATGTCTTCTATATCAGCAGGCTAAAAACAAAACAAAATTTTATTTGTTTTACTTTAACATTTGACAACATTGCTTAACAATTGATTAAAAATTTTCAAAATTCCATTTAATGTCTCCTGTTAATTTGGGCTCCAGAAATTTATAAACTTAGTCTCAATATTTAAGCTGCAAATGATGGAAAGGTTACAATGACATTTATCATTCTACAAATGTTTCAATTTCTTCCCTCCCAAAAAATGATTTAGTTTCTTTTTTTTTACCATCTTCAGTAGCTTTGAATTGATTACAGGGAAATCCAAGAACTAAATCTTTGAAGTTTGATAAAGTTATTATGGTCATCATATTGTGGAGTATATCCACATTTGAAGTAAAATTTACCACCAATAAAATTTTTCATTAGATTCATTATTTTAAACAAAACTATATATAGATCCTCATGATATTTTATTTAATCAAGCACTTTAAAAATTCAACTGAATTAATGTATAATGCTTATTGTCATGTTGTTTGCATAATAGCATAATGCCCTTAATAAAAATTTAGGCATTGAATTTCTTTTTCGATTATATGCATGCAGCGTAGGAAATTGAGTGCAGGCGTTTATGTTACATAAAGAATGCGCAAATAAAATTTTAGAGAGTTCCCACTCTTCTGTAATTAACTTTTAACTTTGTTACACGAAATTTCTGCAAATAGATTATCGGCTACCTTTAATGTAACACAAACGCCCGACTCAATTTCCTCCACTATTATTTAATAATTGAATATTTCAAACTTAAAAATCATAAAATAGAAATCTTTACTGCTAGTTTAAAAATGAATAGGTAATGGCTGAATTAAATTTAAATTCATTACATTTTCAGAGAATTTTTGAATGATCTAATTTTGAATTGTTTTGATCAGCCTTGAGCTAAATCTTCATGCAATAATACTAGATGAACTATCAAATGTTTTAGGTACTGATCCAGAAACTACCAAAGAAGAAGTTTCACAGTTAATCAAAAGATGTTTGCCAATGATGCCAATGATAAATAAGGATGAAATAGAAAGTGAAAATTTGGTTTTTAAAACTGGTTTGATGGTATTATTTTTTTTTTTTTATTCTATTGAAATTTTGATCTTAGACATAATTCTAAAATATATTTATATATCAATTTATAGACAAAAGCACTCTTTCAAGATGTTTCTGCATTAGCTTTTTTTGCATCAATTACTACAAATGAGTCCTATGTTGATGAGATTCTTCCAATTCTTTTGAATTATTTAAAAAATCTTGCTAGATTTTCATATGAGGAAAATCTAACCTGGAAAGGTAACAAAAGAAAAAAACAATAGCAAAGTGAATTTTTAAATTTGATTTTTTATTGCAATGTTCAATTGATAAATCTGTAATTTTGTAATTTATAGATTATTCATTACCTGAGCAACTTTCATATAATCTTACACATGAATTATTTGTTATTTGCAGTAAACAAAAATCAAAATGTGAACTAATTACTAAAGAAGTATTCTCTCTTCTTGGAAAGTTGGGTGCAGAGTTAAAGACTCAAAATGGTACTTTTTTTTCCTCTTATTAATTATATATTTTATAACAGATTACAAATTTTTATATATCCTTTCTTTTATGAGATAGCTGAACATGTATGTACTATTGTTATTCCAATATTAAATGGCTTGTTACGTTCAATTGAAAGTTCACATCATCCATGGCATTTTCAAGACTTTGAATATTTCGCCCATCAAACTCAAACCATAATTTACAATGATACTTTACAAGAAGTTCAACAGATTATAGAAACAATATTAAAATCTTCAGAATCACATCACATATATGTAAAAAGGTTTTTATCAAGATATCAGAATCAAGGATTTCCAATTTCTGGCAATGGACTGTTATATTATGTAACTAAATTATTGAAAAGTGTATTGGCACGTTCAATGTTTACTGAGAAATATACTGAATATACAATGGCTTTAATGTCATTCAATGATATATGGAGCATATTAATAAATCAAAAAGCTGAAAATCATTTACCTATTGCTGATTATGTTAAAAAAACATTAAGAAGAATCTATGTAATGTCATTACAATATTTTTCTGAGTTAAAAGATTTATTAGATAATTTGGTGGCTCAAGATAATGATTGTCTGCCATCTTTGTATGCAAGAGAAATTATGGCTGTTAGTTTAGTAAGTTAAATTGCTTTGCCTCATTTTTTGTTGCTTTTTTATAGTTCAATCACATGATTTCTTACTTTTTTAATTATTGTTCAAAGGATTTAGCAGCATTAGCAAGCATTTGTCTCATTGAATTTGATGATGAATTAATTAGTAAACTCACCTCCTCATTATTTAATGTTCCACAGACTCCAGATGTAAAAGTTCAAGTGGCAGCACTTGATGCAGCAACATTTCTTGCTTTAAAGTTTGTAAAAATAAAATTATTTTTGATTTATTAGCCTTTTAAAAATGGTGAAAACTTTGGCACACAAATATACATTTATATATTTATATTTATTTATTTGAATCAGTTTTCCACAGACTACATTAAATATGATTCAATTAGTCCGAAAATTTTTAATAACTCCATCAACTATATTTGAATTGGCAGTAACTGTTGATAAAAATCTTACAATTCTTGAATATGCAATTGTTCGTCTAGCTCATTGTCTTAAGGTATGATAATTTTTTTTTTGATATTAACAAATGTTTTATTCAAATTAGAATTATTATTTTGATTTCTTTTAAATTTATATTTTAGGCTGTTGATGGTGATACATCTAGATCTGTAATTTACAACCTTTTGACATTACTTCAATCGGGTGGTCATGATTTATCGCCAGTATCTTCAAAAAATTCACTCATTCCAGTTTCTACTCTTGCCTCAGACACCATTTCAGTCTATAGTTCTATTAGTAGCACCTCACATACTGAAGAACAACGTCAACAAATCTTTGAAAACATTGTCTGTACAGTTACTGGAGTTGTTTGTATATTGAAAGATGATAATGTATTATTTTATATATATATATATATATTAGAATCAAACATTTTAAGCATTATTATTGTTTTTTAAGTCTAAATTTATGGTTTTTTTAGATTTCTGCTTTAGCTGTTTCAATGTTAGGTTATCGTTTACGTAATCATACTCCTGCTTTAGATGCCCTTATCCTTGAAAAATTTGTTGATATTGCTCTAATATCATCTGAAAAAATTTTTACTGAAATTGTAAGAAAATTTAATGATATTAGTCATGAATCTCTTTCTCCTGAAAACAAAATGGTTACTACTGCAGTATGTAGAATTTATTTTTAGTTTTATCTGATAAAAGATATTTTCAATTTTCAGTTTTCTTAAATCTATTGTTACCATAGGTCCTTAAATGTCAAATGGATTTAGCTAGTAGAATAAAGTCACGCCCTGAATTCTATAGAATATTTTTAAATAAAATTTTAACATTATTTGTTGATAAAGGTGGAGTGATTCATCAGATCATTGCAAAAAATGGTAGATTTCAGGTGACTGATTAAGTAGACAAATATATTTATATAAAGTATTATGTTAACAGTTAATTTAGATTTTTTCATTTTATTAAATTAATTTATTATTTTTAATAGATTACTTCTTTAGCAGGAGAAATTGGAATTCTACTTCCTGTACTTAAAACTCTACTATCACATGATGACTTCAAAGTGCATTTGAATGTTTCTAAAGAATTGGTTGAACTTTTCCGAAATTTGTGGTTTCACTGTGTCTTATATGGCTTTGTTTCAGAAGCTGATGCATGGATACGTGAATGGCGTGATTCCTTGGTTCTAATTGCACAAAAAACACCACCATTGGTCCAAGAAGGTGCAACAAATTATCTTGAAAGTGATTTAGAATATAACTCAGTATTACGTCGTGGAAATTCTGACCAGGTATGTATTATCTTTGAGTAAATACCATAATCAATATTTAATTTCTTGATTTTATCAACTTATTTAAATCCTAAAATAGGATCTTGCAAATCTACGTTCATCACTATCATCCTATCTTCCAAACCATGCCTCTGAAATAAAATATTTTTCCTTTGCAGAAATCACTTTTTTGCTTTCAGTATATCATATAGAAATAATGAGAAGCCAATCAGGTCAATGTTCTTTTATTCACAGATATCTTGTTAATCAAGGAGTGAATACAAGCAAGTTGGTTGGTTGTATGGAAGAAATTGGAAACCAAGTAATCACTTTAATTTTTGTATATGTTAATAAATATTCATACAAAATTATTAAATAATCTTTATATTATAAAGGTAATGGATGTCTTTATTAATGAATGTTCCAAAAGAGTAATTTCGCATACAATCAATGAGAATGTATACACACAAGTTCGTAACCTAATGATTGTAATTTGTCATCGTCTCAGTAAGGTTCATCAACTGGCTGTTAAACAACTTGATAAGCTGATGATTGAGCTTCCTTCTTTATTATGCAACAAAAAGTTATTATATTTATTGTTGGAATTAGTTGAATTAATCTGGCAAAGTTGTGAGAATGAATATACAAGTGAGGTAGTATGAACCATTGTTTTTTTTCCTACTTTGATTTTTTTGTGTTCAACCTTATTAAAGATTTGAATAATTTGATGATCATAAAGTATTCACCAGAATACAAGTTTTCATCTCCAAAGGTTGGAGTGACACTTGACATTCCTGATTCTTATAATTATCGAAGAGAAATGTTATCTAGTTTATGTGAATATGGCAGAAAATGGATTTTATTGGCAATGATGCAAACACCATCAGAAATTAGAATATTACTTCAGGTAATATTATTATTATTTTCAATATTAACCTACACGAATTATCTAATATAATTTTTTTTTGGAATGGCAGGATTATCTTGCAGAAGTAGATCTATGCTACTCAGAAAATGTGGTACACATGGGTAGATCAATTGCAATTGATGTTGCAAAAACGTCTTCAAAGGCTGATCGTGGTATGAAGCATTTTTGTACACTTTCATTTATTTTATCTATATATTTGATTAATTCTTATAATTTATTACAGAAATATTTCCTTATGTTCTGAATACAGCTACAGACAATATATCTGAGTTTATGAAAGATTATACTTCTCAACGATATTATTCTGGGCAAATAATAGGTGCACAACGTTGGTTGACATTACAAGCAAATGAAGGTAATATTTTGAATGATAATAATTATTAAATCATTTTTTGATTATAAAACAGAAATATAATTCTATGACTTTAAATGCCGGAAATTTACAGGTGAAAATCTTGAAAAATTACCCATTAAGATTGTAGAAAATGTTTTGGAAAAACAGAGTCAAAAGATAAAGAATTCATTAGCTAACCTTGAAAAAAAAATTAATGATGGTGCACATGTTTCTTTGAAGGAACTAAATCATTTGATGCATTTAGCTTCCAATATAATTATTGAATTACCAAAGGTCAATTGATTATAAGAAATTTTGCTGTTAATCTAAAAATTATTTGCTAATTTTATATATATATATATAAATTACAGGCAGATGAAGATCTTATTCATTATTTAATTTGGATTCCTCTGAATCATGTCTTGTTTTTCTGATTTTGAATGTTGCCATAAACGGTGCCTATACAAGATATAATATATTTATTTAAATATTTAATTTGAAAATAATGTTAATTCAAAAATTTTGAAAATTGTCTTAACCTTTGCATGACTTTGCAATGGTCGTCCTGATGTGTAATCAATACCAATTACTTTTCCTTCTGGATTACTTGGTAAATATACACCTACGTCTACCTTAATCTTGGCCATTTCTTCATCAATCTTTTTCTAAAATAAAAAAAGTTTATAAGTCATAATTAAATATAATTAAATTGATACAGTTGAAATTACCTTTTTTTCGGGCTTGGATTTTTTAATAAATGGTTTTAATTTCCCTGATATTGATGTTACATTATTGAAGAAAGTAAATTCACGTTCATAAAATTCTTTATCTTTACCAGATAAAGAATCAGTAATGTTTTTTATAATACGTTCTAATGTTGGTTTTATTGAATCTGGCTATAATTTAGTAAATAAATATTAATATAGTATAAGAGAATATATATATGTCTGTAAAATATATTAATTCAAAACTTAACAATATTTGATTCATCGTCTTTATACATGTTTGCATTCATGTTCCAAATTATTTGATGTGCAAACAATTGTGATATTTTTGCAGCTCCCAATATAAACCTCTCAACATACCCTGATGTATATTTAAAATTATATTTGTCTTATCATGAAAAAAGAAATTAATCTAGTTAATAATTAATTAAAAAAGAACTAACCTAAAAAATCATTTCGTAATGCTTGTACAATTTGTGGTATATAAAAAAATACTACATCAACTGGATGATACTCTAAAGCCCGCATTGCATATTGCAATATTAAGGGATTGTTGTTAAAAGCAGGTGAAAAATATGTGATTGCCGTAATTGGGGGAACAGGTGCCCAATATAATAAGTACTATTTGTAATTTTTATAAAAATCATATTAAGATATTTCCTATTATAAATTTTTTTTTTAAAAAATCTTATTTCAACTTACTTTTAATTGTGGTAGAACATTCTGGTTCAATTTATCACCAAGCAATAAAGGCAATGCTTCAGATATATTGACTGCTTCAATAATTTTACTTGTCATTATCTTTTGTAATTCTGATTGAATCACAACTTGCTTGAAACGATTGGCCAATTGGATCGCTAATCGTGGTGAAATTGACCATGCATGTTGGACAACATCTTGCCAAGAATCCTTAAATAATTCAGTAACAATATAATTGTTATTATTATTATTCAATTAAATGCTAAAAATTTAAATTTTCATAAATAAAATTTTAATGTATTTAATAAATACGTCTGAAAGAACATTAGGTGAAGTTGATTCTTTATTAGTGCTTGGAATATTTAATGGATTTATCCAAGTTGCAAAATTAGCAATTTCACTTTCAAGCAGTACAAGTAAAAGTTTCTTAGATTTTGAAAATATTTTCAGTATTTCATCTTTAGTTTTGTCTGTAAAAATAAATGGTATAAGTAATAAAATTACAAAAATACTCAATAATCAACATCAACAATTCAAAATAATCTACTTGATCTTATTAATCAAAAAATCATATAATCTTACCACCATTTACTATCAGAGAGGTTGAGATATTTGATAAATTGTATTGTAAATATTTTTTTGGTATAGCTGATAAAATTTCATTTAATTCAGGTTTATCAATCTCCACCAATTTGTATAATTCAATTAAAAGTTTATACTCTATAATCATGCATCTTTTATTACCACCATAAGGCCATCTATTTTTTTTTTAGTAAAAATTTTTTATTTAACAAAAATTTATTTAATATAAATATCATTAAGATCAACAAACCTTGGTGGCAAAGAAAACCAATTAAAAGCTGAACCAAAAAGGCTTCTACGAAAAATATATTCAGTTGATGCCTCCAATTGATGAGATTGTATTAATTTAAACCCGTTAATAAGAATTTGTAGTCTTCCTTCAAGTGATAGAGTATGATTGCTATTATAACAAAGTAAATTAGTACTTTTTTATATTATTATCAATACCCAAACACAAAACAATAGATAATTACCTCAAAGTGCTGGATGCATTTAATGTTTTTAGAAAAAGTCTGATATAAAGTTGTACTAATTCAGTACTTCTATAATGAAAGGCTTGGAAACGATCAGCCAAGAAATTTATCCAGATAAGATGTGGACTGAATAAATTCCTTGCAATTTTATTGGTTTTTTCCTGTGTGGCCTTGTCAGAAGGTGCATATTGCATTTTATTTACAAATGGACCCCTTACACTATATATATATATATAAATAATATATATAAATATATATATATAATGATGACTAATATAATAAGTTAAAATCTACAAATATTTTACTTTATTAAAGGAGAAAATAATCCTTTGTGATGTTTCATTGCCCAAACCCATCCATTCGTAATTTCTACCATGATTTTTTTCTCGAAAGATGATCTCTCATTAATTACCCAACTCCAGACAGATTTAGCAAGTTTAAGAGAATCAGGTGTGAAAATATATATAGGAATCCAAATTAAATAATGAATAAGATCTTCATCTGCCTGTAATTTATATATATATATATAAAATTAGCAAATAATTTTTAGATTAACAGCAAAATTTCTTATAATCAATTGACCTTTGGTAATTCAATAATTATATTGGAAGCTAAATGCATCAAATGATTTAGTTCCTTCAAAGAAACATGTGCACCATCATTAATTTTTTTTTCAAGGTTAGCTAATGAATTCTTTATCTTTTGACTCTGTTTTTCCAAAACATTTTCTACAATCTTAATGGGTAATTTTTCAAGATTTTCACCTGTAAATTTCCGGCATTTAAAGTCATAGAATTATATTTCTGTTTTATAATCAAAAAATGATTTAATAATTATTATCATTCAAAATATTACCTTCATTTGCTTGTAATGTCAACCAACGTTGTGCACCTATTATTTGCCCAGAATAATATCGTTGAGAAGTATAATCTTTCATAAACTCAGATATATTGTCTGTAGCTGTATTCAGAACATAAGGAAATATTTCTGTAATAAATTATAAGAATTAATCAAATATATAGATAAAATAAATGAAAGTGTACAAAAATGCTTCATACCACGATCAGCCTTTGAAGACGTTTTTGCAACATCAATTGCAATTGATCTACCCATGTGTACCACATTTTCTGAGTAGCATAGATCTACTTCTGCAAGATAATCCTGCCATTCCAAAAAAAAATTATATTAGATAATTCGTGTAGGTTAATATTGAAAATAATAATAATATTACCTGAAGTAATATTCTAATTTCTGATGGTGTTTGCATCATTGCCAATAAAATCCATTTTCTGCCATATTCACATAAACTAGATAACATTTCTCTTCGATAATTATAAGAATCAGGAATGTCAAGTGTCACTCCAACCTTTGGAGATGAAAACTTGTATTCTGGTGAATACTTTATGATCATCAAATTATTCAAATCTTTAATAAGGTTGAACACAAAAAAATCAAAGTAGGAAAAAAAACAATGGTTCATACTACCTCACTTGTATATTCATTCTCACAACTTTGCCAGATTAATTCAACTAATTCCAACAATAAATATAATAACTT